AACAATGTTCAATGAACAGTTCGGAGCAAAAATGGCTATTTTGTTGCTAATTTGCAGGAAATATCTAGAAGAAAGTTCTACAGAAAGTAGCTAAGGGTCCTCAGAAATGTAGCTAGCTTTGTCACTAGGCGTTAGGAACAGCGACAAAGTGGCACTGCCTCTCTCTCTGCTGCTAAAGCTACGGATAGCAAATGCTACGGGCTATACCTGAGCGTGAACGCGCATGAAGCAGCCTGCTCGACCCGAGCATCTCTCTTTTTCTGTGATTTTACAGAAAAACAGGCAATCACAGTAAAAATGCCAGGGCTCATTCTACAGGACCAGGGCATTGCAGGAGAATGTATGAAGAAGACATTTATTATTTCTATTCATGTTTTGGCTGTCAAACTTCCATAATGTCCCTTTAAGTGAATGAAGCGTAACGCGACCAGACCTGAACACTGCAGGTTGCTGCGATAACGCCATCCACCGGCGTCTCAGAGAAAGGATCAAACGTCCTGTCTGATCTCCGCATGAAATCTGGTTTCAGCAGGTACCTGATACACAAAACAACAAAAGATGGGGCACAATGCAACACGTCTATCCTTACAATCATCTTAGTACTGAAGTTTTTTTTATTTGAAAATGCACCAGTGATCAAGTCAGACTGTCTGACATAGGGAGATACCGTGCATGAGAAAGATTTAGTGGTGATGCTTGTCTGTAAATGACTTCTAGCATTAGCAGTAAAATCGCCACCCTCGGGGCCAGTTACAGCTGAGGAGCGGAGACATCGATGGGGAGGAAAGCAGATAAATGAGTCGAGAGAAGAGGAGCGTTCTTTTTCTAAGCCCTTTATTGGCTCTCGGGGAAGATAGTTGCTACTGGCAATAACTAATGAGATGCGACACGTTGTAATTGATGAGCCTCAGAGAGGGGGAGGGACAGGGGCTGCTCTCACCCACATGATCCGTTGTACTCAAACTTTCCTTGGTTCAGCTGCATGGCCAGATCTGAAAACAGTGGGAGAGGTGTGTATTAACATTAACTTAATAAAGTAAAAGTCCCATTAGTCATCACACGCTGGTGAAATTCATCTCCGTGTTCGGGGAGCGGTGAGCTGCAGCAACACATTAAAGCTGAGTGTCAAGCAGGGAGGCATTAGGTCCCGTTTCTAAAGTCTTTGGTATGACCCGACCGGGATTTGAACCTCGATCTCCCAGTCCCAGGGTGAACACTCTACCACTATGTCACATTACTTCATTAATTAAAATGAGGATAAAGGCAAGTCTTAGGATACATTTTGTCTGAATGCAGCTTTAATTTCTCTTTGGAATCTGAATTTTACTTCCTAACACTCATAAGCTCCGCTTCCTAAACTACTCTCCAGCCTTGGTTCCTGATAACAGCTAAACTTCTGGTAAAGGTAGTGATGAATTTAAAGGTGTGGAACAATGAAAAAAACATATTTTTATGATTATTTCTGATTATAATCAGTCACTCTGAGTTTTTCATGCAGGCTGAACATGAAAATAGTCTCCTACACCTATCTCCTGCTTTAGCTTCTGATAGAAAATAGCCGGTGAAACTCCAGCATTTGAAAATCCTGACAGATCTACGCCACTTAACATTCATTGATTCACCCGTCTAGGCTCGTGATGGGGAAGGCTGCTAGGAAGACCATGTTAGCGTCCAGAAAACAGCAGTAGAAGCTAAGCATTAGCATTAGCAACCCCACCACTCAGCAGAACTCCTTCAGACTTGTGTTATTGTGGAGATAAAACAGCAACGTTGCAGAGCAAATAGAGTCAGTGGTAAAGGTGTGATGCTGTTAGCCAATCAGAGGTGAGACATCCAAATATCAGGAAAGAACCCCTTCTTTTCACTGGATATTAAAGCAGCACGGAACAAACTACATGGCAATTACCCGCCGTTACAGTGAACGGGTTCCTTCACCATGTCCAGAAGCGAAGGGATGCTATTATTACATGTTGAATCTCTTTTTTATGCACTCCACAATTTAGATTGCACCAGACAGGAAGTCAAACATAAAATCAGCGTAAAACATCCAGAAGCTTTCAAAATAAAAGTCATGTGCAGTCATAGGCGGAGATCCCAGGGGGGACGGGGGGGACGCGTCCCCCCCTCACACAAAGTTGTCCCCCCCACAAAAGTTATTGTAAACACATAAATGCTATCAGTAAACCTGTATTGTCTTCTAAAACCACAACGTAAAAGTTAGTCTGCAAATACAAAACAATGTGTTTTTAATTGTTGAGAAATTATAGTCCCCCCCCAATTTCTCAACTTGGTACGGTCGGTCCACACGCGCTGTTTCCAACGGGCGGGGCTGCCGGCTCTGCCCCGCTCACAGCTTCACGGCACTCACAGCCCGCGGCAGGCTCACAGGAGGCGGGAATGAAAAAGCCAGCGGTTTCCAGCAGTAAGTCAATAATCACACGCTTGTTCTACAAACTTAAATATGTATGTCAAATGTGGTCATAAATGTCAAACATAGACACTGATTATCTTTAGATTTTGATCACCGGTCGGAGATCCCTTTATGACAGACCACCACCACCACAGTAGAAAAAAAGTTGTCACTTCATGTTCTCTGGTCATTCCAGAATTTCCAGTATTATTCCGCTATTATTATTCCATTCACTAAGGTGGTCAAAAGTTCCTTTTTCCGGACATGTACGCTTTCACGGTCTTCCCTGGAATCTGCGGAGCATTTATAGATCGATGAAAATGTCCATGTTTCATCCTATTTAGCAGATGAATATGGTAGAATCAAAACTAACTGGTCCGGTGTATGGAAAACCACAGCGTTTAACCGCTCTTATCACGTCTTCCCCAGGCTCTGCAGCTGTTTACAACATGTCAAAGTGCAGGTGCACCGTGCAGCTTAGGGATGAACTGGTAGCAGCAAATGTGTGGTGGAGGCACGTTGCTCAAAGATCCCGTTGGCCACACAGACCCAAAAACACCATGAAAACTGAGAAAAGTGAGAGATCGATTAAACTGAAAGATAAAGTATAGAGTATGTAAATGTTTAGTGTATTTGTAAAGTAAAAGTTTATAATTTTTATTATTAAAATGAAACAAATATTTCAAGAATATATTTTTAGATTTTGTGTATCTTTTTGTTCAGTAGGACTTAGATAAAGTTATTAAATATTACAGTTATTCTCTAATAGCCTACAAGCATTTCTATGATTTATTAAAGAGATTTCAGTCATTTTGATACTTGACTTGTGAAAGCTGATTTGAAGTTTGTTATTTTTTCTGACATATTTAGAAGGAACATTTCAAATATATTAAAATCAATGTGGAACTATTTGGATTTTAGTAGCTTTCATGTTATGTGATTTAATAAAATTTTAATTTGACATTTATGTTCTCTCTCTCCATTATTAAGACAAACAGCTAAATGTGCACCAGGAATTTTTGTGATCAAAGACTCCACTGTTGGGTGGAAGAATATTCTCTTCACTGACTAAACCTATCAAATACTGAAGTTTCAATTTGTGTTCCAGTGACTTATTTCTCATTGTGTTCATATTTACACAGAAAGAAAGGTTAGATAACTGTTTAAAAAAATAGAAAGCTTCAGAACATTTTACACTCGCCTGCCACATGGTCAGCGATCAGCCAGACCCCCTATAAGAGGTTCTGTTGCTCCAGCAGGATTGGAGTCAGCTTCAAACTTAAATAACTAAAAGAGGAAGTGCTGTGGTCATAACTGATGTCAACTAAATCTAACTAGCACATTATCATTAGCATCCAAGCAATCAGTATGTTAAGTTAGTCAAAGTTCAAGAATAAGTTAAAATGCCACCACTAGTTAGCATGCAAATGCTTACTAGCATGGTAATGGTGGCTAGCATGTTATTAATAGCTAGGAAGTAAGCAGTATGAAAAGGTAAGCAAATCAGTAATGAACTAAAATGATAGCATGATGATGCTAGCTAAATCTGAGCATATTTAGTATCCAACAAATGAAAAAACTACCATACTATGAGTGTTTGTGTTTTGTGAAAGCTGATGATTTGGCTCACAACTGATAGATTTACATGTTGGCTGTATAAATGAAAACGTTAGGGTAACCCTGGTTAAAGGGGTTGTTTTATTAAATCTTTGTTGTTAACAAGGGCTGTTCATTTTTAAATAACTGTTAATATACTTGTAAGTAGGCCTAATCTATGTTGCATTTTTACTTGCTGACACAACAATATAATAAAAATGTTCACATTTTGAAGTAGTTTGATGTTAGCCTTGAAAGTGTTTCCGTAATAATATTGGAACTTCTTCGTGCTTACAATTTTGTAAATCTACTTTCACTGTAGTGGAAATTAAGATGTTTTGTTGAATGTGGTCATAAAGGCATCAATTCATAACATTATTTAACATGCTGAAGGCAAACTGTGCAAAACAAGTTGCAAAGACGCAGGAGAGAGCATTGTTTTTCATGTCCCCCCCAAAAATTACTCTCTGAAATTTTACTGTTTATTGTCCCCCCCAAAACTCAAATGGGATTTCCGCCCCTGTGTGCAGTGCATAATTTCCTGGACAAGTGGTTTTGATGCCTACTCACGGATCCGTGCCTACTAGAAGAAACCATGTCTCCAATGTATCAAACGAAGCACAAGAAACTTCATTTCCAGTACATAATTCCCTGTGAAACTTCTGTAACCGATAACAGAAAATAAAATAAACCACAGCCCTTTACTCGGAACATATCAGTGCAAAAATGTTCAATGCTCATTTCTTGTGCGAGCGTTACTGCTCTCAGACGAATGGTGACGGTAGAGAGGCTTCTCCCAGCTGTCCTCTGCTCGTTAACCCATTGCTCGAGGCGGTCTTCCAGCTCAGGCCACCTGGCTTTGTGCCCGCGGAAACACAGCTGCGTCTTCTTTACTTGTCGGAGTTCGTTTTCCAACTTCCTCCACTTGCGAACCATGGACTCAATGCTGAATTCTCTCGCCGCTGCTCTATTCCCGTGTTCCTCCGCGTAGCTGATCACTTGCAGTTTAAACTGTGCTTCATAGGCGTGTCTCTTAGCAGGTGCCATTCTCAGGGTTGTCAGAACAATGTTCAGCATACCGCGCATACCTGCCCTTTTGAACTACTCGGGGTTCGTCTTCGCTCACGTCCGCACGTTCACGCCACGTCCCTTGTCTCCTACTACGTTCGCATCTCACAACAACACAATAGGCGCACCGCACTATAGGGCGCGGTGTACATTTTGGAGAAAATTTAAGACTTTTAGGTGTGCCTTATGGTCGTGAAAATACGGTATATATGCAGACGCTGGGTGATAGGAGAGGAGGGGCAGGTGTGTGGGAAATGGGCACAGGTGAAAACAACGAACTAAGGAGAAGCAGAAATAAGCAGGGGAAGAAACCAAATATAATCCTGAAAACCAAAGCTACTGAAATAACCAAACTAAACTAAAAACATAATAGAAACAAAGACACAGGGCGATCTAAAAAGAAGAAAAGAAATGATCTAAGTGGGGAAAGGACACACACACACACACACACACACACACACACACACACACACACACACACACACACACACACACACACACACACACACACACACACACACACCAAAGGAGACAGGAGAACTGAACCACTAAACCAAAAGGTGGGGAGAATGGAGAACATGAGGGAAACCAGGAGGGAGCTGGGGACAAAAAGAGGCACCGAACATGACATGGTGTTGCCAGTCTCCTGTGATTTTGTGGCCTCATGGGATCAGCTGTGTGGAACGCTTTCACTCCCGTTTTGCATCAGAATTGCACCTGGTTGGGAACGAGCTCGTGGGTAAAACGCTGCTATTACGTTACGAGACCGCTTTCACGGCCGATGGAAAGAAGGGGTAAGAGTCCAAAATCTGCTGTCCAAAGTTACTTTTTCCTCCAGCTGACTTGTACTTCCTGCTTCGGGCACATCTGAGCTTTTTTCCTTCCCGGAGTACGACTTAAGCCTGATTCATGCTTCTCCGTCAGCTCCGCAAGAGACAGACACGCACGGATTGACGGAAGCATTTTGCTATCATGCTTCTTCGTCTCCTGGGGAGTGTTGCAAAGCAATTCCCCGCCAGGACACCAGAGGGCGTAGCTCTGTTCTGTGGTATCCTGTCATGTATCGGTCCAAGATAGTGTGTTTATATTGGTTTTTTTTGTATATAAGAGACTTTTTAACACAGACAAATTTGTCTCTCGTTCTCCTCCATCTCTTCATGCTCTCCCCACCTCTAAACCCACGTTTCCTGTCGTTTCCGTCCACAAATAAAACGCTTGCTGTGCATCTTTTCACTCCTCCAGTCACGGGAGAATTAAACGTATATGTTTTTAGAGTTTTTTCGCGAGGTATTCTTCAAGCTTCTCTCTGTCTGCCGCTTGTTATCCTCGGCTCTCTTTATGTTTTTGAGGGCGCAACGGCGGCGCCATAGACGACAGCGGCGTCCTGACCAATCACAAGCTTGCGTTGTCCGTCTCGACGGATGGATGTTTAGAAAAGAGAGCTCGACTCCACCCGTCCTTGCGGAGCTCTCCAGCAGGCCCGCAAGGACGTTGCGTGTCTCCGCACTGACGCAGACGGAGAAGCATGAATCAGGCTAAACAAGGCATTCATTCCTATTTGAAGCTGCTGTTTATGTATTGATTAAACACGTGTTCTACCCCTTTAAAGAAACCCTAAAGGGTTTTACCACTTTGAGGTATTGCTTTCAAACTAATTTCAGTGATTCTTGAGGCAGAAACTTGAGCAACCTCACATTGGTCAGTACTCTGTAGCCCTCTGCTGACCAGAAACCGCTCTAAAGAGTTTTGGCATTTGGTATAGGAACACTAGTGGGAGGCCTCTACTTATTAACATTTATTCCAAAAACATTACATAATTTGACATTTGAAATAGAATAGTTTATAATTTTGTAGCTGTTGGAGCTGTTTTAAGGTAAATGCAGTTATGAAGGACGTCAAATCTATTTTTCTTAACTGAGGCCATTCTGCAAGGCACAGAATGGTATTTATTTAGATTTTACCCAGAATCACACTTCAAAATAGCAGAAATACCCCTTGCACAGTGACTGTAGTGAAATGTTTGTTAAAGTAAGAGGTCAGAAGCGTACACATGTTTAATACAGTATGTATACATATGTGTTGCGTAGATATGTGTGAGTTCAAAAGACCCATGTTGCATGTTGTGGTACCTGGGGTCTGGAAGTTGAGCGAGACCATCTGACATCCTGCGTTCCAGAAGATCTGAGGCATGTAATTACTGGAGTCCACCCTGCCTCCTTTGGGGTAGATACGGCTCATCTGTCGCTTGTTGTAGCTGCACTGATGCTCAGGAAAAGTTCAAAAAACAGCAAAAGAGCACATGCGTGTGTGTGTGTGTGTGTGTGTGTGTGTGTGTGTGTGTGTGTGTGTGTGTGTGTGTGTGTGTGTGTGAATGAATCTGAGTGCATTTCAGGATCAAACAGACTGTGCGGTTATTTTTAGTGTGAACAGATTGGGTAAAGCTGTCCCAATGGAGAGAGAGCGAGAGGCAAAAATCTCGGGGTTTTACTTAGAAAAAACAGCTAAAATAAAATAAAACACCTATAAGAGCTGAAATCTAAAAAGCGATATCTGAGTTAGTAGACAATGCTGAAAACTGGTTGTGTCCACTGAAACGTTGAGTGTTAAAACTCAGAGGATACTTGACGAACTCGATGGCGTTAGTCTTCAGGTAACCCAGACCGACAGACTCGTTAAAAGATGACATGTTGTGGTAGATATTCCTCTCTGAAACACAGGAGGGATGGGATGAAAACATGGGAATCTTTTGACTGTGACAGTATTTTTGGGGCTTCATACAAAACTACACAAAAACACATCCTGAGAGGGGGGGGGGGGGGGGGGGGGGCTCACCCTCTGCCACATCAAACCCCTGGAACTTGACCGGCTGTGCATAGTTGACCATGGCTGAGAGGTACGGGTGGATGTTGGTGGTGGCCGACTCGTATTGGTATGATGCTATCAGAGCCTCCTCAGAGTCTTCTGCCACATCCACACCCTGCACAAACACACACACACACACACATTGAAACACACATATCGGTCTGCATGCTGATATAGCCGCAGCCGGTACTTACCTTCTTGTTGTTGTCCTGATCAGATGCCTCAGAGATATCTGTGGCGTCAGTTGCTTCAGAGATTTCTGTCACTTCATCGTCAGGTATCTGAAGACATTTAACCATAAAAGTTATCAGCGGCAGGGGCGGATTTAGGACTGAAGAAGATCCGGGGCTTAACACACGCGAGCACGCGCACACACATGTGACACGCACTAGTCAACATCATATATATATATATATATATATATATATATATATATATATATATATATATATATATATATATATATGTCTTGTACCACATAATTTTTAATCTGAAGCTACATATTAAGCATTTTCAGGGCAGAGTATTGTTCCTGTTAGTGTTTAGTGTGAGATGATAGTAAATATTCCCTTTCTTTCTCCAACAACTTTACCTGATAGTAAGCTAACTTTAGGCAAACCAGCAGCACAACAAATATTTGCAAATAAGACTCACAAACCTGAGTCAACACCAGTCTCATCAAAGCTGGGGTTCTGTCGTTGTACTTTTGGTCTAAAAAACGTCCTTATGTCCATCTTCACTCATGCGTTTCAGGCAGAGAGTGCAGAAGAAGCCGGCTGCTGAAGGGCTTCTTCTTCAGTGGTGGAGGCTCAGGCAGGCTGTATACAAACTACTGCCAGCTGCGCCCTCTCTGTTGGACTATGGTACTGCATGTTACTTCCGCGATTTAGATCCGGGGCTTATCATGAAAGATCCGGGGCTTCAGCCCAAGTAGCCGGGCCTAACGCCGCCCCTGATCAGCGGCCTATTTACAAACACTATAGGATTTTTTTCAGATTACCACAACTTTGGTTAGAAATGAGTGAAGTGCGGTCATCATTACAAGTAAACTACTAACAATGACACAACAGAAAATAAATGTGTCCACCTGATCTTTTCTCTATATGATTAACATGTTTATGGTCAAAGTCGCTGAGATTCTGCATTTTCTGTACAAGTACACGACTGAGGTGTGAGCCGAGGCAGCACTCATCGCTGCCTCCACACCGCCCCGAAGTAATCATAAAAATATCTGAGAAATACAAGTTACACGTTAAGCCTAATTAATTGTATGACAGTTAATCATCAGCAAAAACTGTGATGTGATTATGAGTCATAATAATATATTCGTAATAAGAGGAAGTCGTGTTCAGAGTTAGTAACTTTAGTTTTTTGAAGCTGATTATCGTGGTACAAACCCACCTTCCTGACCCCGTTGTTCTGCTCCTCGTCCTTCCCTGAGCTGACAGCGTTACTCTGGGAAACACTGCTGGTCTCTTTCTCACTGGTCGCCTCTGACAGACTGGGAGCCTCCGAAATCAAATCCTTTTCCTCTGCTTCTTTTTCTGCTGCACGCATAACAAATATTACATTTTCCTTATTATAGTCTAAGTTTTCATCTGCTTACAATAAACATGCTATGTAACCATATTCTGTGAGCACTCAAAGGTGCAGTGTGTAAGAATAGAGTAAGATGACATCCTGTGGTCAAATTTGGTTACTGCAATCACTCTCCCACTCCTGTTTCCTGAGTTTCATGGCTGTTGCCTGTTTCAGATGAGTACCAGAAGATTCTAGATAATAAGCAAAGACACAGTACATTGAATTCAATACATCTCCATAGATGGTGTTAGCACTCTTGGGTGTTTTACGGTAGGGAGTACCTATTACGGTAATAGAGGAAGTGTTGTTTTACGGTCTGTTTACTGGCAGCTTGCTGTTTTAGTTCTGAACGGCTAGTTTAAGGAAGCAAAACGCCACAATTGACTCATTATTCACTTCGCACATTCAGTTCACTGTAATATCAAGTTGTTGGTATTGAAAAAGTAGCTTGAGATATTTTTAGAACTTTGCTTAACCCTCTGGGGTCCGGGGTGCAATTTGCCGTTTTTGACTAATTTAGAGTTTCCTTTGTATTTCCAAAATAAAAACCATAACCACTGCCTTATGTGGTATCAATCTTTTCAGCACAACATGGACTTTTTGAATTTATACTTATTCTTTATATTTGAACATAAAGGGGTTGCACATTAGACCTTAAATCATTCAAAAACATAAAATCCGAATTGGAAAAAAGTTGTTTATTTTACTGTGAAACCAACAAACATTTATGACTAATGTTTTTTTATAATTTAGAATGGTAATCTAGACTGTACATTTATAAAAAATATGAATAAATATAGCAAATAACACATTTAAAAAATGATTAGCCCTCTGGGGTCCAGGGTGTAAATCACCGTTTTGACTCATTTTGGTTTATCTTTTGTATTTTCAAATAAAAACAATAAATATTGCCTTATGGGGTATCATTATTTCAGGACAACCTGGACTATCTGAATTTATACTTATTTTATTAATGTGGCAATGATGTACATGCATTTTGGAGTGGGGAGTGGATCTGTCAGCTGCGCAGCGCCTCCCACTCCTCTTGTTGGATCTCCGAGGAGCTGGATCTCTGCCTTCATCCTCTACCTCATCATGACCCAACTCTTCTATGAGGAAGGATGGATCTGCCTCATCGTCATCAACATCCTCGCTATTTACCTCAGACTCCGGCTGCGAGTCTCCGTCCACTTCCTCTGCTTCCAGTTCATAAAACATCTGAACTGCCTGGTGGACATTTATCCTTCTCATCATCCTTTATATAAGCCTAATAAAAGCCTACTAAACTGCAGCGACAATATATCTGTCCGGATCGCTCCAAAATATGAAGTTTACCGTCAATATTTGTCTAATTGTTTGTTGTTACTCCGTTCGCGCCACTCCTTTCCCCGCCAAGCGGCTCCTTTTTGCGCACATCTCGTTACTCGTGCGGCCTTCCTCTCTCTCTCAGCTACATAATGATGCTTTTTATCAGCTGAATATGTGAGACTTCCACCAGCAGCAAAAGGATCTCATGTTTTTATGTTCACAAGCACATTCCCTCTCACGGATTACTAAACTGCTGTTTTGACAAGTTATCAGACTGTCTAAAAATAGGTCGTTTTTTAGTTTAGTATAACTCCTCTTTTACGTTGTCTATTAAAGAAATTAAAAAAACTGGGGTGTAGTTTATAATCTCCTTTTTAAAGCTGAATTGAAACCATAACTCAGGGAGGCAGAGTCATGTTGCTACAGCGTCCCAAATTAGACCTGTTCTAAAGACGCGGATACGCGTCCATGGACCCCAGAGGGTAAATTAGCTTCTGATTCACCGTTAGCATTGTTAGCTCAACGTTAGCTTCTAGCCTTCTTTACCTGATGTTAGAGTAAAACAAAAAGATGCTCTTAGGGGTACAAGAAATAACTTTTGGGTCGCTCTTGTTACTGGCGTCAGTTCTTTATACAACTCTGAAGCTTTTTGCCGCCCATAGTCGAATTACAAATGCTAACGCTGCAGTGTTAGGCTGCATCCCTCTTTCCTTTATTTTGAAAGGACAAACATCTGGCAATCCCGATAGCTGGCAGAAAATGAAATGTTTCAGTATAACCTTTCTTTGAATATGATTGAGACATTAGACTGTTTTGGGATTATTTCACTGTAGAAATCTTACTTTATTCTTACACACTGCACCTTTAAACAGAGTTGTATGTCTCACCATTCTCTGTGTCGTCCTCCTCTCCCATGATAATGGCAGGAGTGTTGGTTTCTCCTGCTTCCATGTGCTTTTTTAAAGACTCCAGCTGCCCTGTGTTGCATTCACACACAAAAACAACAATTAGACACACACAGAACCCAGTCTGCACTAATCTTCAGCTGAACACACACTCTGCTCAACTTCTGGTTTTAAGCGTTTGTTTTTGATGAGGATTTTCTTCTTGAGCTCGCTTGGGGAAGGTAAAGGGCGCCCGGGTTCAAGCTGAGGAGAAAATAAAAATTCAGCACATTTCAAATTGATTTAAAATTCATTTATTTCTGAAAGGCGATCGGAGAACTTACCGAGTAGCTCTCTAGAGGCTGTCTGAGCAGCAGGTCCCCAAAGATTTCCTCACAATACTTTGCCATCTTGTACTGCTGAAGTTTACTGAGAACACACACAGCTCATGTTAAGACGATGAATGTGATGAATGCATTTTAAAGGCGAATAAAATCTGTTTGTGTACCTGCAATGGTTTTCAAAGGAGAGGATGACGGGATAATCAGATGTGACGAACGCTGTGTCTTTGATAGCTTGGATGACATCCTGTTGTAAAAGATGAAAGTTAGAAAGCATGAGAACGATTATTAAAGGGAAGCCCGGATGTGTAATAACACACTACTAACACAAGGGGGAGCCAAATATCAGCTAAGATCAAAGCACGGTTCATTTTTATTGTACTCAGGAAATCAAACTCTGAGCAACATTTTAAGGACGACTTTGTAGAAATAAAGTCACTAAAATGAAACAACAAGGAGGAATTAAGATGCTGCAGCAGATTTCACCGATCTTAGGTTTAAATGACACCCAACACCCAACTGTTCTCCTATTTCCTTCTTGAATAATCTGCACTCCTCTCAGGTGGAGCGAGAGCAAAAGAATCGGTAATGGCGGCCCTGACTCCTGGAACGGTCACACACACTCCACAGCTGTGTGTTTTACCTTAAACAGGATGTCTGTGCACATGGCCTTGCCATGAGTAATGATGGGTTCCTGGTCCTCTCCTTTACCATCCCAGCAGTCCAGCTCCACACACCTGACCCAAATCATAGGAATCTGACTTGTATCAAAGCCGTTCAACATTATGAACATACACAGTTAATCACGATCACGATTAAGGGTCTGCTTGCATACCTGCATCCAGACAGCAGAACCTGTCGGTACATCTCCACAGACGATTTCCCTCCAAACTGCCTCCCTGTCAAGTAGGTGTTGTGGGAGGAGCTGATGAAGTAGTGAGCCAGAGGCTGGTCCATTTCTTGGTACAGCTCCAGTCGGTCCAGGAATACGGGAGCATTTTCGTCTGACATCAGGTACCGACAGAACCCGTCGCTGGACATCCGGCCTGGAGAGGACGGGCGGAGTGGTACAGGAGCAGAACATTTAGTCAAAAAATAATTTTGGATATATTGTGATGATTCGTCAAGTTGGATGATGTTGGTTTAAACTTTAAAATGTAAACGCAGTTATTAAACCTTTCCTTTCGTATGTGAGCATTTCAGAACTCATGACTGAGAAACGGATCCCCGTTGGTCAAAATGATGTTATGATTATGAAGAGTGAAAATCATAGCTCAGATCTGTGAGACGTGCAACACCAGCAGGGGGCAGCAGAAGATAAAAAGCCAGCAAGAATCCTTTTTACCCTTCTTCTTCAGCTCTTCATCCCTTTCGTATTTCTCGATGATCTGCATGGCTCTCTTAGGATCGTAGAATGGAAACAGGATTTCATTTAACCTTGGGTCTCGCTGGTTCTGCACACACACACGGACGTTACCGTCAGTTACTCCCACTTGTGTCAACACTCTCATGACATGAAGTAAAAACGGCAATCAGAAATCTATTAGAAACTTTAAGACAATTTAATTGCGATTATGTATTCTTATGATAATTTGCTAGGTTGTTGTCTTAAATATGGAGCATTTAGGTCTTGAAATGCACAACAACAAGAGCAACGCTAAAACATGCAGTGTTACAACGGTGCATTAAGACCAGGGCAGGTGCTGGAGAAGCCGCAACAGCATCAGCACATCATTACAGTATTCAGAGCCAGGTGGGCATTAATCTGATTGGCTCCAGGGCACGAAGCAGTGCAGATGTGACCGGACTGAGCGGGTATTCATCCACATGAAGGAGGACAGCCACAGAACATGGCAGGAAACAACACGAACCAAGCAGGACGCAACAGGACGAAAACCTCTACGCTCCCGTAGTCATGGCAACGTCAATCAGACACAAAGGTGAAACCTCGCTAGGGAGAACACGGGGAAACGGGACGATAGAGCATGCAAAAACAGGCCAGCTGGTGGAAGTTGCCACTAGAGGCTAACATGAAGTAAAACATGTTTTGTTTATTTAACTTAAAGTTTTATTGATAACTGTCAGACTGGAACGGCAACTTCCACCTGGAGCAGGATGGGCCAGAGGGGGGGGGGGGGATGCTCAAGCCAGATACACACAGAAGTTAATAAATGATGAAGAGCTTACTTCATTCAGAAAGCTGACTAACTGGTCTACAGTTAAATAATCAGTTTTGTTTCCATTGCTGCAAAAGAATCAATTAGAAAAAAAATAAAGTTAAGTTCCTTTCAAACAAACGTCCTCGAAGTCAATCAAACATTCGGTTAAAACGAGAGAAGCAGTCTGTGTAAAGAAATAAAGTTGAAAGGACAGTTTTAATGTCCTCTCTGTTCAAAGCAGGTTAGGCGTAGTTAGTGCAACAGGCGCAGAAACATTACGTCCAACTCACTTTCACTTTACCAAAGATATCACTATAAGGTGGCATTAGTTTGCTGGATTTGATCATTATCGGGTCTCCGGTGCTCTGCTGAACATGACAAGGACAAACATACATGTTTTTGAAGAGTTCCTCAATATCTGTGCGAGGGCAAATCTTCTGTGTGAGCGCGTAAAAAATGTCAAAGGTGAAGTCTGGTGGCTCGATCTCGTCATTCTGTGGAAACAACAGGAAACTGTTTACATGAAACTGTCTTTCATTATTAATTCATTAGATGGACTAAATTTCAAAAGAAAACCTTTCCACTAGGAAGGCCAAGGTCTTTGAGAGCCTGGAAGATCCCCTTCTCTGTCTTCCCTGATGCAAACGTTCTTGTAATGCTAACACAGAGGAGAAAAAAAACAATCATGGGGTTGGACAAAGGTGAGTGAATCCTATGCATGAGTGATTCATCAGAATTTTAGTTATCAAACAATGAGATTCAAAAAAGGTCAAGAGACACATTTCCTTGTCTCTCTCGGTGGACAAGTCAACAGAGTGCGTGAAATCTCAAACACAGCCACACAGAACTTTTGGTGCTTTCCGGTGTTCCTCGGAACTCATTTTTCTGGGATAAGTTGGCCGGAAATGACGCTGTGAACTCAGAATTACAAGCTGCGAGCTTGTAGGTTACAGAGGACCCCGAGATCCCACATTTAAAGAGCAAGTCACCCCCTACCCGAGTATTACTCCACTCACACATCCTGTTTGAAAAATGCAACAAATGCTGTTGCCTAGCAGACCAAGAGGGCATAGCCACTAGCAAATACACACACACAGGCTCACAACGACATTGTGACATCATATGGTACCAGCTAAAGTTCTAGGGCACCTCTTAGCCAATTGGGATGGCAGATTTAAATTCATATGCGGTGCAGAGCTTTTACCTGACAACGGCACAACACTGACAGTTTTAGGCAGAAAATTTACATTTGAACTAAAATGCACTAAAGTGCAAAACTACAAACTACACGTGTCTGCAGCACGATTAGACATGCATTTATTTAGTTTATCAGGAAAAAAAAGTTGATTTGGGGGTGACTTGCTCTTTAAAGATGACTGCGCCCAGTGCCACCAGGAAGTAGTTATCGTCTATATATTTTTCTTTTGTGCTGTGTTTTCTTTTTTGTTGCTATTTAACAGCACCGGTAAGTAGTTAATTGCTGTCATCAATAGTTACGTCGTTGAAAAACTTAACATCGCTGCCGAAATTGACCGGTGTTTATGGTTTTTACTTTTCCTGGCGTTTTTCTGGTTGTATGTGGCAAGTGTTTAAGGGCGCGTGCAGAGAATACTTGTTTTTACCATTATTTTGGTTTAGTACTCAGCGACACTGGTGGCATCCACTTTTTCCGAGTTGGAAGCTGGACCGCAAAACAAGCCCGTTACGTCATTTCCTGCTCGGAAATTCCGAGTTCCGAAGACAACTGGAATGCACGATTTGTGGCAGTGACAGAGGAGTTAACTATCCGCCCTGTAAACGGAGGGTTGCAGGTTTGAGCACCAACGGTTGGGAGTCGTTGTGTCCTTAGGCTACTGGCGGTGGTTGGTGGCGCCCAGGGCAGCGGTGGCTAGATTTTAGCTAATAACCACCAGCTTGTGAAAGTGTGTGTGAATGTGTGAATACTGATTGTGTTTTAAAGTGCCTTGCGGGGTTAGGAAGGCACTATATCACATACTGGCAATTTATTACCATTTACACAAGCATGAACACTCCCTTCTGTGGAATCAGTCACAGACATAGTTATCTGATCTTTGTATGCGGACCGTTAACTGCACCCTTGTTGCGGGGGAAAACGTAACTGAATGTTCTAAGTGAGTCAAGTTTCTGCAGGTCCGTGCAGTTAAAACAGGAAGGTTTACTTCCCAGAACGGTGTGCTTTGCATGCCCACGCAGTGCATCTGTCCGCAGATTCATTATTTTGTTATCAAAGCCTTTCTAGTTTTGCCTGAACAGTCAAACGGCATCAGTGTGGAACAAAATCATTCTATCCTAGGTGCACAAGTCAGTCAGACGGCATAAATGTTTCATTATAAAACAAGGGCTGCACAGTGGTGCAGTGGTTAGAGCTGTTGCCGTGCAGCAAGAAGGTCCTGGGTTCGCTTCCCGGCCTGGGATCTTTCTGCATGGAGTTTGCATGTTCTCCCTGTGCATGCGTGGGTTCTCTCCGGGTACTCCGGCTTCCTCCCACAGTCCAAAAGCATGACTGTTAGGTTGATTGGTCTGTCTAAATTGTCCTTAGGTGTGAGTGTGTGTGCGTGATTGTTCGTCTTGTGTGTCTCTGTGTTGCCCTGTGATGGACTGGCTCTCTGCCCAGGGTGTACCCCACCTGATTGCCCATTAACCGCTGGAGTTAGGCACCAGCCCCACCCCCACCCCCTTCCCCCCGCGACCCTACATGGACAGGCGGGTTCAGAAAATGGATGGATGGACAATAAAACAATCAGGAAACATGTAAAATAAATATACTCCCACCCTCTCACGGGGATCTTCCCATTAACGTTGGTCAGGAAACACATTCTCATCCAACTAAACAGAAAAGAGAACAGGTTAGAACAGATCCAGCTTACAGAAGCTAACGTTTAGAAAAGGGCCTAGAACTTAGTCTGCTGTAAAACACACTCACTGCTTCTTTAGGCATGTCATTGGACAAACGTTGTTGGCCTTGAAGTTGTGAATCACCGACCTCAAACCCTCAATCCATTTCTGCAAACAGAAAAGAGACAAAAACAAACAAACAAATTAATAGGTCGGTCTCAATCACTTGGACACAGTAATTGATGAACTAAGACAGAGATACACACACACACACACACACACACACACACACACACACACACACACACACACTACTATAGCATGCAGCTTTAAACTCTGGGCTGTCAGCAATGACAATAAACCAACAAATTACCAAAAAGTCACTGCAAACCCCTATCTGCGTAATTAATCTCTACGCTGCATCTTCTTCACTTCCACATCTAGAGGGGGGGGGGGGGGGGGTGTAGTGTCATTGGGTTTTTCTGCACCAACGTACGTCGAACTTTGTGGAGTTAGGGTTAAAAGCTGTGTTTTTATTTTTATTTTATCTCTCCCTGCAAACAGTCAACATCTATATTAAGTCTGTTGGTCCAGGCCACATCTGTAGGACATCCAAACTAGGTCTTTGCACAGTGGGCTGATTGCAGCAGATCTGAAACCATTTTATGAAACAACAAATAAAAAAACTAAATAAAAAAAAAAGTTTCTAAAGCCAACTGTACACAACACATGCACCAGCTAAGCTAACTAGCAGAAATCCCTTAAGCTGAGAATAAATATCACAAGAAGCTGCTGCAGTACTTCTCTCTGCTTTGCTTTGAGGATATTTCTACCATGTTTGCAGGCTGGGAAAAGGTCACGTTAACTGGTACCAGTGGTGAAGTTACTCTGTGAGGTCATGTGTACGTACATGTGTTCTGTAATACATCATGTATTGTTGACGAGAACAGCAAATCTCAATAGATCCTGCTCTAGATCCAAGATGGCTTCTCCCCTACTTGTCTGAATGTGTGGGTTTACATGGAACATTCAAGAGGCTGCTCTTTCATGTGAGCAGCTTTCCACTGACATTGTTACTAGCAGAAATTTATTTGACAGCATTTATAAGAAGAAAAATAAAAGTTGAAATTCCAAAAGATAGCTGACACAAATGCAGCCCCATTTCTACATGAAAAAGAAATGAAACAAAATAATACCAAAAGGAGCAAAACCAGGATGGACATGGAGGGAGGGAGGGAGGGAGAGAGAGAGAGAGAGAGAGAGAGAGAGAGAGAGAGAGAGAGAAAGGGAGAAAAACTAAACGAAAGGACATCTCAAGGTCATCGCTTCACCCACCCAGGTTTATGAGGTGTGTAAGTGTGCCACATGAATGCATCTTTACCCTGGCTATGTCGGGGTTCTCTGCCACCAAGAACATGAAGCTCAGGTTCACCAGGTCGGTGCCACTGCAGATGCAGATGATGCATCCTTCCAGGTCTGCCTCTGTCTTTCCGACGGCCTCAAAAGACGACAAGATCTTTGGGTCCTGTGGAAACCGGGTAAAAGACAAACACTGAGAAGATCTAAGAGTAACGACAATAGATGAAGTATAAGAAATTACACGTAAATATTTAAACGTTTTAAAGCTTTAATATGAATGGTTCAGGAACCCAAAACAAACTGCTCAATACATTTGATTTAAACACAGATAGACTTTTTTAAGAGTTACACTGATTTTTATGACAGGCTCTGAAACTTTATTAAGATAATTCAAACTAATAATAATAAATTTTGATTTGAAGAATTTGAGCCAACACACACACACACACACGCACACACACACACACGCACACACATGATCAGTCAACAATACCAACAAAACCCTGATAACTGTTCCATTAGCATATGGTGTCTCTTCTAACACTTAAAGCAGCAGGATGAGTTTGCATCTTAATTACAAACCAGAACCCACATGAGAATCCAATTATGGTTTTATAATTCATAAAGCCGGAATGGAACCAAATAACACATTATAATGTGTCACTGTCAGCGTTGCACCGTGTGAATCAATATTTAATGCACATAGAAGCCCTGGGTCTGCTCTCACTGGGTCAATATCTGCTAAATACACACTGATTAGTTTCAAGTTCCTCTAAAAATACAGAATAACGATCTCGGTCTGTTTGTCTCGGCTATTTCAGGATCTGCTTCCTAGCTAAAAGGCTGGGATGTGTTTCTGACAGACCTGTTGATCCAGAAGTAGAAACTTTAAACCCCCAGACATATTATTATTATTATTAATATTAATGCAGAAGCACATGTTTTCATTTTACCTGAAAAGCTAAAAGTCATGACTGCAAAAAAAAAAAAAAACCTGCTTCAAACACAACCTGCGGCTGATCTCGGCCAGGGTTGTATAAATATTGATGCGTTGAATTTTTCATGTTGATGCTGTGCTAGTGCCCCTTGTGAATTCGGTGTTTGAGAAAGAAGCCCAGCAAGGAGAAGCGGACTGAGAGGCTCAGATCAGGCATTACATGGCTAAAAGATACAACTGCAGCCTTGGCTAATTTAAGCATGAATAACGTGCCTGACATGGCAGTCTCCCTAGGTTTGACCACAAGTGTCGCAGTGGGAGGGGGAAAAGGAAAGTGCCTGTGGTGTGGGCTGAAGTGAAGAGATTAATCTTTGTGGAGGTCTCACCTTCGGGATGGCGCCGACACGGATACTGTTGATGAGGGAACACTCCAGAACCTGGCCTTCCTGAGGGAGGCCAGAACATTTGGAACAACAAAAGAACAGAGAATATGTTAGTAAGGCGTGAAGAACAGATCTACAGTAAAAAGGCATGGAACATTTAACTCTGCTTACCAAAACACAATCTCCACTTCTTCCTTGTAATCAAGTTTAAAATATCTTTTTTTTTTTTACTTTAAAGGGACTTTATGGAGTTTAGAATTTTTATGCTCGCGATTGCCCCAAAAGCCAACGGCAGCTACAATAAAAGGCTCGTGCACGAGGCGCACATGCTGTATGTGCACACTCCTTAACGAAAATAACAGCTGAAACAGTCCGGTGTGTGTGTGTGTGTGTGTGTGTGTGTGTGTGTGTGTGTGTGTGTGTGTGTGTGTTCCGGAGTACAGAGGACAGAGAACGCGCAGCTAAATAATTAAATAATTTGGTTCTGTACCTTTCTCTTCAGCACAGCCGACAAAGGTTTATGATGGGTCAGTCCTCCTGCATGCTCAGATCATTCCCTTCCCTTGCTTGAAAAATTGTTCCAAAATGAAAGTTGAACCCACATCTTTTTTATCTGTGAATTCAATGCCGTTCGGCGAGTCTCAAATAAAAATTTGGACATCTTACTGTAAAGAAATTTACCATTAATGTAAAAAAGAAACTCTAAATGAACTATGTTCACATCCAGAATCAAACCCGGGTCTTCAACATGAAAGTCCACCATCTAACTAGGTGAGTGAGCTAAAGCACCAGTGACGTCCTTTGTATCTGTAACATTTATATCCTTTATGACAGCTGAAACAACGTTCAAAGAACGGTTCGGAGTGAAAATGGCTATTTTGTTGCTAATTTGCAGGAAATATCTAGAAGAAAGTTCTACAGAAAGTAGCTAAGTGTCCTCAGAAATGTAGCTAGCTTTGTCACTAGGCGTTAGGAACAGCGACAAAGTGGCACTGCCTCTCTCTCTGCTGCTAAAGCTACGGATAGCAAATGCTACGGGCTATGCCTGAGCGTGAACACGCATGACGCAGCCTGCTCGACCCGAGCATCTCTCTTTTTCTGTGATTTTACAGAAAAACAGGCAATCACAGTAAAAATGCCAGGGCTCATTCTACAGGACCAGGGCATTGCAGGAGAATGTATGAAGAAGACATTTATTATTTCTATACATGTTTTGACTGTCAAACTTCCATAACGTCCCTTTAAACTTGCAGAATAAGTGTTACAACACTCACATCGTCTGTTTCTGGCTTAATTTAATCTAGGTGACAGCATAAAAGATATTCATTTTTGTTTTAGCGTATCTCACTGAGCTCCAACTGTTATAGACAAACCTTGAACTGTTTAGGAGCTTCTGAAATGTCTTGATAGGATTTGCTTGAACTCTGAGATGTAACCTCTCCAACGTGTCCTGGGTCGACCCGGGGGCCTCCTGCCGGCAGGACATGCCCGAAACACCTCCCCAGGGAGGCGTCCAGGAGGCATCCTGACCAGATGCCCAAACCACCTCAACTGACTCCTTTCGATCCGGAGGAGCAGCAGTTCTACTCCGAGTCCCTCCCGAATGTCCGAGCTCCTCACCCTAACTCATTCATTACCTTTATGGACAGAATTTCTAGGCGCAGGCGTGGTGTGGAGTGTGTCGAGTTTGGTGGCAGGAGAATCTGGTCTCTGCTTTTTGCGGATGATGTGGTCCTCCTAGCTTCATCCAGCTCTGACCTTCAGCTCTTGCTGGGTAGGTTTGGCGCTGAGTGTGAAGCGGCTGGGATGAGGACCAGCACCTCCAAATCTGAGACCATGGTTCTCGACCGGAAAAGGGTGGCTTGCCAACTCCGGGTCGAGGGAGAGGTCCTACCTCAAGTGGAGGAGTTTAAGTATCTCGGGGTCTTGCTCACGAGTGAGGGTAGGAGGGATCGGGAGATCGACAGGCAGATTGGTTCGGCGTCTGCAGTGATGCGGACGCTGAGCCGATCTGTCGTGGTGAAGAGGAAGCTGAGCCAGAAAGCCAGGCTCTCGATTTACCGGTCGATCTACGTCCCAATCCACACCTATGGTCATGAGCTTTGGGTAATGACCGAAAGGACGAGATTGCGGATACAAGCGTCCGAAATGAGTTTCCTCCGTAGGGTGGCCGGGCTCAGCCTGACCCCGGGTTTCCATGGGAGCCGTCAGCAGCACGTTACTGCAGCAGCACGTCTTGCTCGCGTAAGCTGCTGCTTGGCCCTTCCCACGAGACGCGAAGCAGCAGGGGAGCAGCTGTCACCGACAGAGCACGAAGTCACACGAGTGACTTCGTCAGTAAACACAACAACAAGCAGCAGAAAATTACAACACGGTTTGTGTTTTATGTTCTGTCCGTTTTATAATCGCCAATACGGACCTGAAAAACAAAGGAGACCGCTAGCTAGGTGATAACTTCTCACGGAGCCGCACAGTTAGTAACGTTTTTTAAAAGTAAAGCAACCGGAAGGCAGTACGTCCTTTATTCTGAAAATCTCGGGAGCTTCTCTCCATTTCCGCGTCCAATTTCCTGTCTTTCCTTCCCCAAAAATGTCGAACTTGACCCGTTTCAGAGGCGTCGCGCGTAGAAAATAGAACCGGCGCGTAAAGGCCGCGACATGCTGCTCCTGAGACGCGGCCGACTCGCGCTGCTGACGGCTCCAGTGGAAAAGGTTCTGTTGACCACAGCGGTTCCTATCAGCAGCTATGACGTGCTGCTGCAGTAACGTGCTGCTAATGGCTGCTGTGGAAAGCCGGGGTTAGAGTGTGGCCAGGCAGACATCTTAACCTATGGACTATCTTAACCACAGTTCGGCGGCCTTGTGTCTGCCCTTTTAATGTCTATTAATCAATTAATCAACTTTTAATACTATTTAAGACCCCGCATACAACCTAAAGACAATTTGTGATAAAAGTGCAACAATAAAATGTGATAAATTTTTATTTGACTACAGATAAGTCATGTGACCCACGGGACCCAACTAGCTTGTCACCAACAGTAACAGCCCAGAGAGATGCTGACTCAAGTAACAAAAGTGAATGTCACGAACACTTCCAGGAATCAGAAAACTTTCTAATTTTAATTTTTATCAACAACAACAAAAAATCTTAGTTTGATAAAGGACCTGTTGTTGGCCATAGAATACAGAAAAGATGAAGAAGGGGAAGTTGTACCTTTCCTTCAATCTTCCACGTGATGAAAAAGCCGTACTCGTCCACTTTCATCCGACAGTTGGGCTCAAAGATATACGGGTCCTGCAGAAGAAGGAAATTAATGTTTTTCAAGAGTGGAAAGTTTCATCGATCACAGGGTTTCATCTGACATATCCTCTCATTACACAACCTGCAGGAAATATTCAATCAGACAATGCTATAATATATTTTAAAAGAAGATAGGTGCTAATAAATTCAGTATGTTTATACACATGATGTGTTTAATGCAGGTGACAGTTATTATTCTCGACTAAATGCAAACATCTGAGTTTAATGAGCTTGGATAGTATAAGCATGCAGATATGGGTCAAGAAAGTGTCTTGATTGTGTTGCTGCTGCACACATATTAGGTTAAAATGTTACCGATAATCTTATTGTAGCTTGGCATTCACAAATTTTAAACCTGGAAAATGTGATAGAGCTAACAGATTACTGGGTTCACGTGTAATTTAAATCCTATTCATCAAATTCTGAGAAGTTTAAAATAAATAAAAAAGGAAAAAATAGACAAGGCTGCTAGGTCACTCATACTCTAATATTAGAAATACAGAACAGTGTGACACACACACACACACGTAATTTATTATTTTACGACATTGCTGCCATGAGATACACAGCTGCAAACAGGTCTGGCTGTGCCCTGACATCTAACACCACCATAAAAGAAAAATAAAACTACCTTTTTTTTCCATTTAGGAAACAATGAGTTTGCTCTAAGTGCATCTAAAAGCTTGTCTCTCTTTCATCTAAATTAAGACTGACAGAGGCCTAATTTTAGATAGTAGTCAGCTCTATATGGGAGATGGTCTAAAATAAGCCCTAATGATGAAAAACAACCAGCAGACAGGACGCTACTGTAACATTAAAGAATGGAATATTAAGCTGAACCATCATTGTCTCTGCTTTGAGTGGATGGAGATCCACCTTTATGGGAGCTCCGCTCCACCTGAACATTGCTCTCCTGCATGCCAAAGTAGCTGCTTTTCTGTTTGTTTCTGTAGATTACCTCTCAGGTCACAACCTACATCAAAAGAACGTTTCAAACAAGGAAAACATACACAAAATATAAAAGTTGTAAAACATAGAAGTTAACCATCACTTATTTCCCAGCTTCAAAAATTCAAAAGTGGTTGATAAAGTTTTTGAGTGTGAGCTTATTTCCAGAACCATTGAATGTGCAACCAAGGCGTCAAAATACGATGCGTGTGACCAAGCGTCAATATATGACGAATCGGGACGCCCCAGCGCGTCAGGAGACGATGATCAGGGACACGCTGGTTCACGGGGCTCCGCTGACGTCACTGTTTGACGCGCGCGGTCACACAGACATTATTCAACTATTTACCCTTCCCCTCACCCCAATCCTAACCTTAAATTCCATAAACTGTGACCTTAAGTTAGGATTGGGGTGAGAGGAAGGTTAAGTAGTTCACAAGTAGTTCTAATGTCCGTCTCACCACCGTCGTCGGATACCGACGCTCTGGGACGCTGCGTCAGCTGTTTGTCCCTGATCGTCGTCACCTGACGTACTGGGGCATCCCGAATCGTCATATATTGAAGCTTGGTCACGCGTCATATTTTGACGCCTTGGGTGTGAGAATGTGTTGCAACAAATGTGTTTAATGAAACTCTCAGAAGGTCTTTCTTGGATCTAGGGCCGTGTGTTGTTGGTAAGAATCTGGCGATGGGTTATTAATCACAATTCAGATGATAAGGTATGTTGCAATGCTAAAATCCAGACAATATTTGCAATGTTTGCGTTTTGTGTTGCTATACGCTAACTGGAAGAATGCTGGCACAAATGGGCGCATGTCGCCACCTACTGTAGCGGAGGAAAACAAACTTCATTTGAGAGTTTGGTTTTTGAACGTATGTGTAAACTAGAAGCTCCCAGTTTATTACTTTAGATCGACCCAGGTCAACTTTGATGCGCATGTAAATACACTGAATGAATGCAGTGAAAACTGCTGCCACTTAGCAATCGGAGTTTGAATTGTACCACAAAAGAAATGCAAGAAATGTTTTCATGTACATTCTCAAAAAATAATTAAATTATTTAAATCTATACGCTGCTTTTAAATACCAATTCAGTATCATTAAATGAAATATCGCAATATTTTAGTTCACTGATTTTTTCCCTAAATCCATATGTGGATGTATATTGCGGTAAATGGCAAATAGCCTGTTTTTGTATAGCACCTTCTTAGGGTTCCACGGCCCCCCAAGGCACTTCACAACACAACCAGTCATTCACCCATTCACACACTGGTGTGGATGAGCTACAATGTAGCCACAGCTGACCTGGCACGCACTGAGAGAGAAGAGGCCTGCCGAACACAGGCGCGACCGGTCCCGCCGACCACCACCAGCAGGCAAGGCAGGTTAAGTGTCTTGCTCAAGGACAAAACAGCAGCCAGGGATGTGTATTTTTGAAATTCTGGCGGTACGACACATATCACGATACAGGGGAGACAATAAGATATATCACGATGTATTGCGATACATTCAGTCAGACGTCACAAGCAATTTTTTTTTTTACTGAATTCATTGTAAGAATGTTCAATAAACAGTCCAAACTGATATGTAACATGTTTAACATGAGGTATCTGAACCATGATGGAGGGATTTACATTTCAATGGTGGAAACAAAACCCGTTGCACACTGCTGCCAACTAGCGGGTGGCGATTAAATTGCACAAAACAAAAAGAAAATGCACAAATGTTTGCATGTAAATTCTTTCAAGAATTAGATACATGGCTTTTGAATATCGATGTAATATTGCTGGAAAAAAATAACGATATATTGCCATATCGATATTTTCTTACATCCCTAACAGCAGCATTCCCTGGTTGAAGTCGGGATCAAATCTGCAACCTTCCAATTACTGAACAACCCGCTCTACCTCCGATTATCGTCTACATCTGATTAAGATTTAGAGTCAGTCCACTTTAGAATGGCCTCTTTTGCTCAAACAGAAATTCAGCTGATAATCTATGTTTTAGTAGCAGAGAGTCCTTCACAACTCATACTCCGAGTGCCAACAGATCCCACAAAGTCTTGCAATTTCACAAGAACTATCTGCTATTTACAAGATTTGGTCAAAATGACAATCTTTTCTAATGAGATGTTCATCTTTTTAGTTACTGTTATTTAATCTCACGCTCCATGCACACCGCAAACGTTTACCGGACTGGTAACAGAAACAACTGAGTAATAGTAATAAAAAATAAAACAATAAAGACAAAGGAAATGAGTGCTTTGCCGCTCTTGACCTCTACTGTGTTCTTTCAGCAGCTGTCAATATAAGGCTGCTTAGTCCTTAAGGAAACCAAATGTCAGCCGGATCAGAAGTGATTGATTTCCAATAAGTGAGATAATGAATCAAACACACACACACCTAGGAAGTCCTGTGGCTCTTAGCATGATGTATTACACTAGACCTCTTTAACCTTTGTTGTCTGTAGCTGAGGACTGTCAGAAAGAGAAAACTCATTTGAAATGTCTCAGTCTAAGACAAACACACTGTAATTACAGTAAATCTATAGCTCATTTAAAGCCCTGCCTCTTGGTACGAGTACTCCTTTAGAGAGTAAAGCACGACTGACAACATAAGGCTTACTTAAGACTTTAAACAGAATTTTATAAACAGATCATTGTGTTTAATCACAGCAGAGCAGCTACGAGCTAGCGTTTGTGCTGTTATGGTGCCCTTTCCCCATGAAATCCTAAATAGACACACATACATCCACACGAGCACAATACCTGCCTCTGCCATCTGTCACTCGGTGGGGCTTCAGAATGTTTTGTGAAGAAAAAAATCCATTCTGTTTAGCATATCGGCTTGTTCCTGCTGAAGAGTACGTCGGTCGTTTTAATCGACTTTGAATTTACCCTTCAGTTTGACAAGATGTAACTCATGAAAGAGGCGGTTTAGAGTAAAACTTCCAGTAGAGGAGAAATAAATATTGAGGTAAGGTGGCAGTGGTGTGCTCCTTCTGAACTCCTTAATGCTAACCTTTTAAGCTGCTAACAAAGATTGACATTATGATTGAGACCAATGCTATCCTTGTCCTGTCACAGCTTGGCTCAAACTCACAGTGGCAACACGCTGGGGTCTTTTTTCAGAAGCATGGTGGCCAAGTTTAACTGCCTCTCTTTGACATGGCTTTGGATTTGATGGGCTGTCAGCGCTCTCTTTCAAGTTTTCTTCTTTCTAACTAGGAGGGATCCTCCTCCCCCTCTGATGTCTGCATAAATAGAGAGGACTGAAGGGATTTCCTGATGTGTGTGGGGGTATATGCATGTCTCTGAGTGTGGATGCATCTGGGTGACACACTTTGCCTTTCCTCTGCAAATGTCCTACCTAAGTGTCCTAAATAACAGTGAAAGCATGGACAGATAAGGAAGATGTTTACAGGCCATGTGCACGAAGATGTAATTAGATCTTTGGAGACGTTAATGGCATTTGTAAGTATAATAAAGTCGTCTAATAGAAATCAGTATAACACCTAAGTAGCGGATGTGATAAAAGTAATAACTGATAATCCAGTTTTGTGTTTATATATATATGTATATATATATATATATATATATATATATATATATATATACATATATATATATATATATATATATATATATATATATATATATATATATATATATATATGTATATAAGTATATCAGAAGTATAAGTATACAAAATATATGTATAAAACTACAGTCTATAGGCTCTTTTATGCAATGTCAGGAATGCAGAACTGTAAAGTACACAGGTGGCAGGAACAGACAATCACACGTTAGCAAGTATCAGCAGAGCCAATAGATGAGCTCAAGGACAGTTCTAATGAGAAACAGGCTTCAACACAAGCGGTGTTCTGCTCAAAAAGACCATGCTTCGTCTGGGACTGGTGCGGTTGATCTTGGTCAGCTCGCCCCATTCTTGAGCCCAAATGTGACTTCCCTGGGTGTTGTACTGGACAGGGATCTTGTTTTGGACAGTCAGATCAGTGCGGTGACTAAATCTAGTTTAAATCAGCTAAGACGGATAGCCAAGGTTAGGAATCTGCTATCAAAAAAGGATTTTGAAACAGTAATTCATGCTTTTATTACATCGCGGCTTGATTACTGTAATTCTTGTACGTTGGCGTTACTCAGTCAAACCTTTCACGTCTTCAGTTGGTGCAGAATGCTGCTGCAAATTTGTTAACTGGGATGAGAAAGATGGAGCATGTTGGCCTCACTGCATTGGCTGCCTGTTCGTTTTAGAATCCAGTACAAGGTACTTTTATGGGCTTTGAAATCTTTGCATGGCCTTGCTCCAGATTACCTCTCTGAGCTGTTGGTTTTTCATTCCCCTGCACGGCCTCTGAGGTCGGCTGACAGGATGCTCCTGGAACTACCAAGAACGAGACGTACGCTCAGAGGTGACGGTGCTTTTTCTGTAGTAGCCCCTAGGCTCTGGAATGCGCTGCCTTTGAGCATTAGGTCAGCATCTTCTCTGTCTGGTTTTAAATCTCTTTTGAAAACTTGTTTTTATGATTAGGCTTTTAACTCAGCATGAGAGTCTTTTAGTTCCAATGAAGTTTTAGTTTTTATTTATTATATGTATTATGTTGTGTATTGTTTTAATGCATTTTAATTTTGTGAAGCACTTTGGTCAGGTCTATACTGTTGTAAGGTGCTATATAAATAAAGTGTCACGCTGTGAGTTGGGGGAGGTTAGGACCCAAGATGCAGACTCAGGATGACACAAGGCAGGAGTAGTGAAAACGTAAAAATCCTTTATTCAGGGGTAAATCCAAAGGGCTGGAAGCCAAAAACCAAATTCCAAGAATCCAAGAATCAAACCCTGGGAACATCCAAAAGCACAAGAGACCTAGAGAAATTCCAAATACCTAGAGAGGGTGCGAGACAACGCTGACACAAACAATGGACCAACAACCACAGACAGGGTTATATACACAAGGGCTGGGTGATTAGGGAACTGTGCACAGGTGAGACCAATAAACAGAGGAAGAGCACAACGGAGCAGGGGAGGGAACCAGACCTAAAAATGGGGAAGGGAGCAAAATGAGCTAGAGGGAGAAAACAGACTAGATAAAATGCTTAACAGAAGACTAATGACAAAAGGTGTCTGAGGAAAAATGTAAGGGAAACCAATGGGCCATTCCCATCTGAACCGGGTCGGCCCGGGCCGGGTAGCGTAGGTTGTTTACATATCTGGGTGGCCTGGTATTTTTCCGGGCCAACCAAGGCTCATTCTCAGCCCTCTTCTCGAGGGGGTCTGCTTCAGGCCGACCAGGGCCAACACACCCACTGCTGACAGCAAATTCACACCTTCCATTAGAGCAAACCTCTGATTGGAGGGTAGAATCAGCCCACATGGACTTAAGAAAAGGATGTGTGGTATCAACCGGGCCAGGCTGGGGCCGACTGGGGCTACCCAGCCCGGGCCGACCCGGTACAGATGGGAATGGCCCACTAGAGAGCCTGGAGGGAGCTGGGGACACACGGACGCTGAAACCTGGGGAGAACACCTAAGGGGTAAAAACCTGGAGTGGCCTGGGGAACACAAGGAGGCACATGGGGAGGGATGCAGACAAGGAGACACATGAGGAACACAAGGAGACACATAAGGGAAACCTAGAGAGGGATGGAGAACACAAGGAGACACATGAGGGAGACGCAGGACGCAGACCATGACATAAAGTTGGCTTGGCTGCACAGTAAAACGTGCAGGGGACAAAAATAGACTTTGGAAAAAGTGTATGTATGTATGTGTGTGTGGTGGGGGGTGGGTGAACAGGTCATCCCATCGTGCCCCCCCCCAAAAAAATAACTATGTCCACGACCCTGGGAAAGACATTACCGTAATCATTGGAGTAGAAAAGCATGGTATTTACCTCATCAAACCTGTCGAAGGAGGTCCCTTCTTGCATGAACTCGGGCAGATGCTTCTGCCAGTTGAATTCGTATGATTTTGTCATGACTGATCACAAACCTGACACAAATGAAAAAAGAAAAATTAGAAGAACAATTAAAGTCATTAAAATGTAGTGATGTTTCTGCCTTGAAAGTGTAAATGTCAATTGTGGCGCTAGACAAGTGTTTTTGGGCCAAATGTGCTAGGATGCTAAAACAAAAACAAAGCAATCACATATGGTCTCCAGCCTTTCATTACCATGCAGAGCAAACCTGAAATATTTCAGAAATGTTCTTGGAGGTTGGTGTACAAAAACTCAAACATCCATAAAATGTGTTTGTCTTCCTGTGGAGATCTTCCACCCAATCCTCAACAACAATGTGCAGTTTGGTTTCTACTTCATTCTATATTGTTTTTCTCTAATTCTGGCTTGAATCCATGTAGATAGACATGATCAACCAACAAAGCTGAGAAGACGCTGATTAGTGAATATGTGAACAGCAAAGGGTCCTGACAAACTCTTCCACCCATTCTCCTGAACATGTTATGTTCTTGAGTGCTTCAGAATGACAGTGGTTTAGTTCAAACATATTGACAATCCAACAAGGCCAACAGGAGCCGAACTATGACCCTGCAAGCATTTCTTTGTGGTGCCCGTGAGGGTTATAAACAAACAGAAAATTGCCCTTATATAGCTTTGTCCATGAGCTTTTTATTGCTCTGGATAAACTGGTGTGTGGTTGGCTTAAAGATGCAGATTAGGTTCCAACTTCACGGTCATTATTATAGCATAAGAAACAGTATTTCCAATCAATTCATAGGGCCAATTTGGGCATCACGTAAAAACATTGATATGTAATGAGTAGACAGGACTGAAGAATGTCTCACTGACAGAGCAACAAAGCACATCAAAGGGAGAAAAAAACTTTGAAGAGTCAATTTTTCACTTTAAATAAAAATGCAGCGCAGGCTTGCACGTGTATCGTGTAAGCTCAGGGAAACGAGGGGAGGGGCTTCTGATATGAAACTACAACAGTGTTGATGGGCTCTTCAAAGGACAGCTCAAATGTGTCCGGCTAAACTGTGAGGAGAAGCACACTTGAGAGGGTGAAACACTATGTATAGTCTAAGAGCTCAGCTGTGAGGTCACTATGGGAATATTGTGAGGTGTGATTAGCAGGCCTTTTAGGATGTAGATTTACAGAGGATAGATGGTCTAATGAGATAAAAGACATCTTGTCCTGATTATTGTTTTAACAGTTATACACGGGCTCCCTGTGGTTTAATTGATGTGCAGTGCTTTGAAAAAGCACTTGCTTCCTTCTAGAGTTGTTCTGCTTTAGCATTTCTTTAAATCTTAACATTTTCACATCAGAAAACCCAAGTAAATACAAAAGTCAATTTTCAAAGGATAATTTCATTTGTCAGCTATCCAAACCCAATCTGGCCATATGTAAAATTAACTATTTTTCATGTGGCCATATTTCTCATTTGGACAGCAGATATAGAAAAGACAAGACATCAGATGCAACGCGCCATGCCCTACTCCAAAAACATTCTAGAACAAATTAACCTAGAACAAATTGTGAGCAGATAGAAATTTTCTGCTAGCTGGTATCAGGAATAATATTCTGTGGACTGATGAGACAAAGGTGGATTTTTTTTAGAAGGTCCTGTTAAACCTGCAGTAAGAATAAGAACGTCACAGTTAAACATGGCAGTGGCAGTGTGATGGTCTGGGGTTACTTTGCTGCTGCAGGACCTGGAGCACTTGTTTTATGTCATGAGCCGTGGTGAGCCCTCTCACTCCATAAACAATTTCTGAGCCTTCTTTCAGGTGGGAGAGGCTGAGAAGCACCAGCTGGACTGAATCGTCAATAATCAGGGCAGGGTTAAAGGGAGGATGAAGACACCACACTTCGCCGGATGATTGCTACTGTTTTGGTCGTTCAAGCCACTAATACTTGTCTCTAGGATTACGCTATTGTCTGTGAATATTTGTCTGGATGTCTCATCATGTTCTGATAGTTTCTTTGCATCGCTTCAGGCACTGTCAGCACCGCTCCGAAGCTCCCATAAAGTAAGGTCTATTCAGGGGTTCTCGAGAGGAGGGTCCATCGGATTGTTGAACCTCAGATTCAGGAGGAGCTATGTGGTTTTCGTCCTGGCTGTGGAACACTGGACCAGCTCTATACCCTTAGGGGGATCCTGGAGGGTGCGTGGGAATTTACCCAACCAATCTACATGTGTTTTGTGGATTTGGAGAAGGTGTTGGACCGCGTCCCTCGGGGGGCTCTGTGGGGGGTACTGCGAGAGTATGGGGTACCAGGCCCTCTGATATGGGCTGTTAGGTCCCTGTATGACCGGTGTCAGAGCTTGGTCTGCATTGCCGGCAGTAAGTCAAGCTTGTTCCCAGTGAGAGTTGGACTCCGCCAAGGCTGCCCTTTGTCACCGATTCTATTCATAACCTTTATGGACAGGATTTCTAGGCACAGCCAAGGTGTTGAAGGCATCCGTTTTGGTGGCCTGAGGATCAGGTCTCTGCTTTTTGCAGATGATGTGGTCCTGTTGGCTTCATCAGAAAGTGATCTTCAGCTTTCGCTGGAATGGTTCGCAGCCGAGTGTGAAGCAGCTGGGATGAGAATCAGCCCCTCTAAATCTGAGACCATGGTCTTGATTCGGAAAAGGGTAGAATGCCTTCTTCGGGTCAGGGATGAGGTCCTGCCCCAAGTGGAGGAGTTTTAAGTATCTCGGGGCCTTGTTCACGAGTGAGGGAAAACTGGAGCGTGAGATTGATAGGTGGATTGGTGCTGCATCTGCAGTGATGCAGGCGTTGTACCGGTCTGTCGTGGTGAAGAGAGAGCTGAGTCAGAAGGCGAAGCTCTCGATTTACCAGTCGATCTACGTTCCTACCCTCACCTATGGTCATCATGAGCTTTGGGTAGTGACCGAAAGAACAAGATCACGGATACAAGCGGCCGAAATGAGTTTTCTCTGCAGAGTGGCTGGGCTCTCCCTTAGAGATAGGGTGAGAAACTCGGTCATCTGGGAGGGGCTCGGAGTAGAACCACTGCTCCTCCACATCGAGAGGAGCCAGTTGAGGTGGCTCGGGCATCTGGTCAGGATGCCTCCTGGACGCCTTCCTGGTGAGGTTTTTCGGGCACGTCCAACCGGGAGGAGGCCTGAAGGTAGACCCAGGACACGGTGGAGGGACTATGTCTCCACCTGGCCAGGGAACGCCTTGGGATTCCCCTGGAGGAGCTGGCCCAAGTGGCTGGGGAGAGGGGTGTCTGGGCCTCTCGCCATAGGCTACTGCCCCCGCGACCCGACTCCGGATAAGCGGATGAAAATGGATGGAATGGATGGATCATTGTTTACACTCATACACATTACAATAAGATACTCATTAGGTTAAGGTGCACCTCACATAAGGTTTTGATCGTTCTCATTCACAGTGTTTAAAACATCTTTGTATCTGAGGAGGGCGTGGCTTTCTGAGGGATGTTGGTAAATACTCAGAAACATGTCAAATTCTGATTGGCCAAACTTGGCCAGAAATCATAACAAAATTGTTTATTAAAACAAGACTTACTTTCCGAATAATTCAGTTTCCCGCTGACCCTCAATTCGGCCAAATCGGGAAAGAAGCATTTTTGAAACCATCTTCTCCTTTGACCTCCTGTCAAAAGCCTCTCTGCAATTCAGCAGCTGATACCAGATAACCGGCTCTTCTAAGAGCCAAGCAAACATCCTCCTTAGACGCAAATAAGCATTCCAGCTTCCTGCCTTCACCTCGAGGGATGTCAGACTGGACGTGTCTTATCGGAACTGGCTACGGGTTCCTGATAACAGAGGTTCACTCCACCTGCAGTGACCCGCACGACCCCCTGGATCAAATGAGAACCTCCACACCAAGGGTGGGTAGACTTGGCAAGACAAATTGCGTCTGATGCCGTTTTTCATAAACAACTCTAGTTTAGAACCAAACAACACGTTCTTTTACACCCAGATGTCACAATTTCTCTCAGGTTCAAAGAACGATTGCTACACCATCTAGCTTCCCTCACAACACCGCACATCCGCCACGTCACATCTCATTATTCATATATTTTCATGTATAAATTATTAGTTTAGGAAAAGAATTAAATTCATTTTATAAACTATATACTTGACTCTGTCTGAATTAATACGAAGTGTGTTTATGGTCCCTAAAGAAGCAAAGAACCCTAGAATCTTCTGATTAAACATTCAAAGATCAATCAGATTGATATTTCATATTTATATGGAATCATTACATCTTATTGGTCATAATTAATATGTTATAATTGCTACACAGCAATAAGCAGAAATATTGGATATGTGATGTAACAAAGAGTGATAGATAATGCAAAATCCTCTGGTTCTTCCTCTGACGTACAAAGGCAAGCCAACAAATGTAAAACGTGAGTGATCTTAGGGGGTTTCAATGGAGTGGAAATAAATGCAGACCTGGAAATCATCATAGAATATCAACTTCATTTAATAAATGTTCATCTTTAAAACCCTCCACTTTTATTTTTTACTAAAACTTACTAGGAACGACCTTGGTTTGCTATTTTTCATGTACTAGTAATCCACAGCATGGCATGCATTTTAGATTTGTGCAAGTTAAAGTAGAGAACTGATTTTATATATAAATTAAATAACCCCAAAGAGGCTTTTTCTGTCCAGGAAGATGTGATCAAAAGACTAGAAAGGCACAAGCAGATACAACCTGACAGTGGTGGGCAGGAGAAACAGAGACAGCTGTGTGTGACAGAGGCTGGCTGGAGAGGATGAGGTGAGTGCAACAGGGGGGGAGGGATGTCTGCTTTTGATGTGGGGAACACAGATTAGAGACAACATCAACAGAGGTTACAGAAAACTGCCTGCTGAGTGAGCCACGGTTCATAACAAACACAGATGAAACAAGGCTGCTGAGATGTCTGAAAGCTGTCACGATGAAACCTGAATCATTCAGAGAGGCTGAACGACTGAGCAGCCGCTACTGAGAGCTGATCTCACAAACAGACTCAATAAAACATATTCAGTAGAGATGA